CTCTCTCTCTCTCTCTCTCTCTCTCTCTCTCTCTTTCCTCTCTCTCTCTCTCTCTCTCTCTCTCTCTCTCTCTCTCTCTCTCTCTCTTTCTTTCTTTCTTTCTCTTTTTTTGGTTTTTCAAGGCAGGGTTTCTCTGTTGCTTTGGAGCCTGTCCTAGAACTAGCTCTTGTAGACCAGGCTGGCCTCAGACTCACAGAGATCTGCCTGCCTCTGCCTCCCAAATTCTGGGAGTGCACGCCATTACCGCCCAGCTCTTCTTTTTCAATCCTAAATCCTAATGTCAGCTCTTCACACACACTGTGGAATGACTACAAAAATAATTAAAGACTACTTAAAGCTGGAGGCAGGAAGCTGGTTGTGGCAGATACAGAAAAAGTCACTGCAAGGGGTGGGGTCTTAACGAAGCCAGTTGGTGTTCTGCTAGAGGATGGGGGAACTAAACCAAAGCATCAGAGATCTGCAATGGAGGCAAGGGACCATGAGGGGAGGTACATGTCCAGGTCTGAAAGGAAGGATATTGGAGAGATGCTAGAGTGAATGACGTCAGACAGAGGGAACTACTAGCCCAAATCCTCAGAGGCAGGATTTCTGCCTATCAGTCCTCTGACCACACACACAGCACAGCAGGCAGACTCATGACGGGTCATTGTGCCCATTGCTATTGCAGCTGTGCTAATTTGCTGTCTACTGCCATGATGAAAAGTATCACCAGAAGCAGCTCAGGGAGGAAAGGGTTATTTTCAGCCTACAGTTTGTGGTCACTCACTGACAGAAGCCTGGCAGGAACCCAAGGCAGGAGCCTGGAAGTAGGGGCCATGGAGAAACACTGCTGTATGAGTTGCTTTCCTATTGTTGTGCTAAAATACCATGACCGAGGCGATTTATAAAAGAACGTGTTCAGTTGGGTTTATAGTTCCAGAGGGTTAGAATTCATGATGGTGGAGTCAGTACATGGTGGCAGGACCCACTGAGAGCTCGGATCTCAAATGGCAAGCAGAAGACAGAGCGCACACTGGGAATGACACAAGTCTTTTGAAATCTCAAAGCCCTTCCCCAGGACACACCTCCAGCAAAGCTTCACTTCCTAATCCTTCTCAAGCAGTTCCACCAAATGGGGACCAAGTGTTCAAACTTATGAGCCTATGGAGGTCAAGGCCGTTCTCATTCAAACTGTCACAATGACTAACCGGCTTGAACCCCATGGCTTGCTTAGCCTGCTTTCTTATACAACCCAGGACCATCTGTCGAGGGTGGCACTGCCCACAGTGCCTTCCTACATCAATCATTAACCAAGACAACATTCCACAGATGTTCTTAAAGCCCAATCTCAGTTAAGATCCTGTTCCCAGGTATGTGTAGGTTTATATCAAGATGACAAAATCAACCCAGGACAGCTATGTTTGCTGTTTTTCTTTTTACGGACCTCTCCTTCAGGATGTTGTACTCTCTGTTGGTTTGGTGTGTTTGGTAAGTTCATAAGCCTGGTTTGTCCCATGTGGTTTTCATATGCCCATGTTCCCATGTGTTTCTGATCTATTTTGTTAAGTTTATAGGCAATAACCTTTTGTTTGTAGTAAAAAAAAAGTGATCAGTTATTAGTTCCTCATGGTTGCTGCTGGACAGATGGCAAATATATGCATAAATGAGATATGGAGTCATTCGGACTCAACATGGAGTCAAATGATGCTTTGTAAAATGAAAGCCACTGTCTCTCACAACTTAGAGAAAGACAGTAACTCACAGCAGGGCACAGCCTGGTCTGCACAGTTGAGTAGTGGACCCTCTCAAAATATACCTTCTCCTATTCTTTGGGACCTGACATTGTGATGGTTTTTAGCTTATTTTGTAGTTGTTTGTCTTCCTTTCTTCCTTCCTTTTGTAAAAGGAACAGTTAAAGATGTAATTGAGCTATACCTCTGAGGTAGGCAAGCATAGAGAAAGGCTCTTCTAACAATGTGTATAGCAACCTGATGGCAACCTGGGACTCTCACCTGCACCAGGCTGCATATACCTGATTTAAAAACCTAAGTAAACTATTTCCCTTAGTGCTCTCTGGGTGATGCCCATTTCTGCTCAAATACATCTGGGAACACATATGGGACCTATGAGCAATGGGTCGATCCAGGCTGCACCAGTTTTGGATGCATATCAATAAGGCAAAGCAAACTATGTCCTCTGAGTGACCCTTTGGAGAGAACCTCTACTTATGATTAGGTATGCATACGATTGAAAGCAGATGCCTCATTGTTAGCTGCCGAGAGAGGTAGAGATAGATGTAGTGGTAAGTTGACCACGCTCCATTTGAAAGCGATACATCTATGAGTACTTGAGCAGCATACATTGATCTTGAAGGATTAAAACCATATGATACTAGTTTGGGTGGGTAAGGAAGGGGCCATCTGGAAAAAGTTGGGAAACAAGGAATAAATATGATCAGACACATTGCATGAACTCCCAATGAGCTAATAAAAAATATGTAATACAAAAAACTATGTTCCCCAAAGGAAAAACCAAAACAATCAGATGCATTGTGGGAAGTCCCATGCACGTACACCAAGGGTTACATAATCCAAACATATCAGCCAAAACAGAGGACCAAGCGCGCTACTATCACACCCCTTAAAAACCAAACTCAGACCCTCTGCTGGTATGAATAAGAATGAGTCTCACAGACTTATGTATTTGAATACTTGGTCACCAGGTTGGTGATGCTATTTGGGAAGAATTAGGATGTGTGAACTTATTGAACAAGATGTGTCACTGGGGGTGGGCTTTGATGTTTGAAAAGCTATGCACCATGACTATTGCAGTCTCTGCCTCCTGTTTGTGACTGGAGATGTGAGATGTATCAGCTGCTCTTCAGACACCGGCCACCTGCTGCGTCTACTCCACCATCATTCATGGACAATTACCCTGTGGAACTGTAAGTTCAGAATAAACATTTCATTTTATAAGTTGCCTTGGATCTGGTGATTCATCATAGTAATAGCAAAGCAACTAATATACATTCAATTAAAGGAATGTCCAAACAATAATTGGGTCTTAGAATAGTTTCACTTATGTGGTCTTTTTTTACTTCATGACAGCATGTTTCTTTCTGAGATCCTCTATCTGTACACTTTTCTTTGAGTAAAGTTTCCTTGCTACTTTTAAATTTTTACGAACCTTTATTTCAACTCTTTGGATATAAACTCGGGAATAGCCAACCCAGGTTCTAACCACAGGTAACACCCTTGAGATAAGATTATTTTGAATTGACCAGAGGTCCCTACGTCCAATGACAAGGGGGCTTGTGAAGACAGAAAGGACATGAAAGAAATGAAGCAATGATTAGCATCATGTGGTCACCAGAAGAGGAACCCCTGGAGTCAGCAGAGGCTGAAAGAAATGAAGAAGGATGCTCCCTTAGAGCTGTCAGCAGGAGAAGAGCCCTGTTGAAACTCTGATTTTGAACTTCAGATCTCCATAACGGTTCTGAAATTTACTTCAGTGGTCACACTTTGTTATGCCAGCTATAGAAAACTAATATAGACACCAAAGGCCCCCTTGAAATAAAGTCTGGAAAATACATCTGTCCCAAAAATACTGGTGGAGTGTTATCAGGCCAAAGCAGGTCACTGTAACCTGCTAAAGCTCGGTATTGTGAGCGGCGCTGTGCTGTTGAATGTGCCCGGAGAAACACTTTACCAATCAGTACTGGAGTCAGGAAGGGTGCAGGTCGACACTCGGGGAAACAAAGTGGGAACAAGAAATGAAGGCAAGAAGGAAGACTTCTGGAAGAAGAACCTGACCTGAGCTTCGAGGAATGAGTAGTTATTTTGGTGAGGAAGAAGGAGGTGAAGCTGGGGTGCGGAAGAGCACAGCAGCTCACTGTGGACAGTAATCAAATGTGCACTAGGGCACAGCGTGGGAAATCCAGGAGCCAGGGGTTAGAGGGTGTTGGAGTCCAATAAATGGCCTGATTTTTCTCTTAGCGGAAATTACCAACTGGATAGTGATAGAAGTAAGGGGTAGATGGACCCTTTAAATAAAACAGATGCAAAGGGCCCCTGGTTAGTCAGGATAACTTATCCTCTCTGTGCTGTGGGCAGATGATCAGAAACATTCGGCTCTCTAGACATAAACATGGAAACTTCAACTTTGGGGCCTTTATAAGAACCATGTTATTTATTTATTTATTTTTATATTTATTTATTTTTTATTTTCGAGACAGGGTTTCTCTGTAGCTTTTGGTTCTTGTCCTGGAACTAGCTCTTGTAGACCAGGCTGGCCTCGAACTCACAGAGATCCGCCTGCCTCTGCCTCCTGAGTGCTGTGATTAAAGGCGTGCGCCACCACTGCCCGGCTAGAGCCATGTGTTATAAGGTGTTTTACTCTGCACTCCAGGCCTTAAAACAACAAAAGATCCTCTTCTTTCTTCAGGTTCCCCCACAAACACCATAACATCAAGAGATGGGGAGGAATGGAGCGCCCTGTGAATCTCATGAAGAAACTTTCCTGGTTTGGTAAGCTTTCTCTCGATTGATCCTTACTTTCACCTAAGTTGTGTTTATACAAACCAATCAGGCCTATTTCCTCATGTAGGCACTAGACCAGTGCTTCTCAGCCTGTGGGGTTGTGACCCTTTAGGAGTAAAACAACCATTTCACAGGGGTCGCATATCAGATATCCTGCATATCAGATATTTACATTATATTTCAGTAGAAAACTTACAGTTATGAGGTAGCAATGAAAATAATTTTATGGTTGGGGATCACTACAACATGGGAAGCTGTATAAAAGGGTCATGGCCTTAGGAAGGTTGAGAACCACAGCGCTAGACACATGCAGGTTCTTTGCCACAACCTATCTTGCTGAGAGTGTTCTTTCTCTTGATAAAATCCTTCTTGTTCCCCACTCATGTGTCCCATGTCCTTGTGATTGAGAAGCAAGAATCTGATGCAAAGAAAAAGTGATACCAAGGTGTATGTGGAATGTGTCTCTATGCATTGGTTATTAGCATGACAGGGGAGTGGGCGCGGCTTAAAGTTTTACAGTGTGATAGACATGCCAGAAACGTGACCCTCCTGGCACTTCAGAAGACCCCATCCTCTTGAGGGAAAGTGCTGAGTGTGACTGGGAAGTGGCAGAGCAGTAACTGCAAAGAGAGCTGACCTAAGTAGATGGGATTCAGAAAAAAAATAAGCAAAACAAACAGGCATCATGACATTCAGAAAGCAAGGAAGACTAAGTGCCTTTCCCTGTAATAACGGCATAATGACGTCGGCAGAGGAGGGTGAGGAAGGAGGGGGAAAGTGGAGTGGAACATGGGTCAAAGTCATTCTAACGGTATTTAGGTCAAAATGGCAGCTTCTACCTTTGAACAGGGAGTGAGGAACAGGTCTCAGATTTCTAACACAGAGGAGTCATTCAGAAGTGCTAGGAATAAGAGGCAGGATCATTTTCCATCTGGCACTGTTGATACAGAGCTCTCTGCCCAGAGCTAAGCAGAACCAACCACTAGGCCACCAGAACCTCTAGTTGGAGATGATGCAAACATCCTAAGCCCTATAGAGAACATTTCCAAAGAAACTCACCAGATGATGGAAGCTTCCTTAAGTGCACAATCTGGAGCCTAGAAAACTCTACCCTTGGTGGATAGGATGCTTATAAATGTGTGTCGAATCCCAAGATGTGGTTGTTTTAACAAGTCTCAAACTCTGGAACTTCAGCGAAGAACTTTGTTTACCTTCATGTCAGCTAACGAAGGAAGATCAAGGCTCAGATGCTCCGTACAACTGTCTTCCTCACAGAACACCAGGCTGCGCCTCACAGAACAAGCAGTTTCAGGGGAAGGGAGTGGCGCTAAGCTAAAGTGAAAACAAACATTGAATCTCATCCTTACAAAGACTCCCCAGGCCATGCCTGTAAGCATTGACTACTTGGTCATTTCCCAGTTGCTCAGACCTGAAACTATCTTAATTATAACACTGTTTGGGAATGACTCGGGTGTATTTCTAGCTAGCTCTTACATCTTGAATTAACCCATTTCTATTAATCTATGTGTCATCACAAGGTTGTGGCCTCACCAATAAAGTTCCGGTATTCCTGACTTCTTCTTCTTCAGCAGCTACATGGTTTCTTCTTGATTCCACCTAGTCCCTCTCTCTGTTATGATTTCCCACCTGGCTTTACTCTGCTAAGCCATTGGCCCAAATTTATCTACCAATAAAAGCAACACACATACAGAAGGCCATCCCACATCATCTCCCCTTTTCTGTCTAAATAAAAAGGAAGGTTTTAACTTTAACATAGTAAAATTACATGTACAAAACAGTTATCGCCGGGTGGTGGTGGCGCACGCCTTTAATCCCAGCACTCGGGAGGCAGAGGCAGGCGTGAGTTCTCTGTGAGTTCGAGACCAGCCTGGTCTACAAGAGCTAGTTCCAGGACAGGCTCCAAAATCACAGAGAAACCCTGTCTCGAAAAACAAAACAAAACAAAACAAAAACAAAAAAACAAACAAACAAAAAAACAAAGACAGTTATCAAGCAAGAATTATAGTCACAATATTTAGTCTGTTTGTATTTGGCAAAATAAGGAAAATACTCTATCATCTATCCTATCTTTGTGAGTCTAAAGTCTTATATCTAATTTATCCTTTATCATAACTAAGTAAAGCTATAACTATAACTATCTGTCTTCAACTCTTCAAAGACCCCAGAAGGTTTTTTATTATCTTAGTAAACAGAAAGTGAATTGGAAGCAACTTCCAAAACTTTAGAATTGACAGAGACATCGTGCTGCCTGGACAGTCACCCAAAGTTCCTCTCCAACATTAGGGTATCCATCTTCAGCCTACAGACCTGCAGTATCTGGCAGACTTTTTCATGAAGCAGGAAATTTGGAAGAGTATTTCGCCTATATTGGCAGTTTATCAGTCACTTTCTTGTCTCCTGCAGAATCTCTGGCAGACTCTTTCATGAAGCAGGAATCCTGAAGGACCATACCATCTTTTGAAAAGTTCAGCAGTCATTTTTTTCTGTGGGTCCTGCATGTCCATTTCATATAGCATACCATCAAGCAGCCCAGGCAAAAGCAGTATCTTGCCCAACTGTCTAGCCATGTTACATTGAAGGAAAATTCTATAATGAAATTCTTCAATGCCCATAAACTTCTCTGAAGTAATTGGTGCTGCCAGAGTAGACAGAACCTCTAGTTGGAGATGATGCAAACATCCTAAGCCCTATAGAGAACATTTCCAAAGAAACTCACCAGATGATGGAAGCTTCCTTAAGTGCACAATCTGGAGCCTAGAAAACTCTACCCTTGGTGGATGGGATGCTTATAAATGTGTGTCAAATCCCAAATGTGTGTTGAGAAAAGACTAAGTTCTTAAAACATTTTTAAATGCAATATTCCATAGATCTTTGAAGTAATGAAGATTATCTATCTAACTGAAACATAACTGTTTATCTAGAAAATCTAATTAACATGACTACAAGTTTGACTATTATAAATGACTATCAATCTGTAATTTTTAATTATATATTACATTTTTAAAAGAGTTATATAAACATGCTACCTTAAACAAGAGTATATATAATAATGTATTTATATCATTTCTACTCCTCCCAGTCGTCTGTCCAACTATTACTGTACCCTTCCATCTGTTTCTTGAATTCAAAATCACTTCTTTAAATATCATTGCTACACACACACACACACACACACACACACACACAGACATACAATGAGTTCTTTTAACCTTGCTCATGTGCACATGTGTTTAGAACTGACTACTTGAGATTGATAACCTATCAGTGAAATCATTCCTGGAGAAAACTGATTATCCCTTTCTCAACAGCCATTGAGCACCTGTAGTTCTTCATCTGNCAATCCTATTGCATAGAAGCCCCCTTTCCCAGACACTTATAAGAAAGGATGCCACACTGTGCTACTGTCTGTTTGTCTATTATACAGATAACTCTTTGAATAAATCTATTAATAAGTCAACTTCAGTATCACTCTTGAGCCCCAAACCCTAAACCTTTCATAAAGAATGGGGTATTTCCTTTTCTTTTCTAAATTAGGAGTGTGAGATATTTTGTTCAGTTTTTGTTTGACCGTAGAAATTCCATCACTGTTTCACTTCAATTTAGAGAGGGGGGAATCCCCAGATCGCTTTTTATTTTTTAAGAGGTACTTGCAGCTTGTGAGAGAGCCCATAAATCCGAGGAGCTTGTTCCCAAATTCAGTTGTGTAGTTTTATATAGAATTCATGAAGACAGGGAGCAAATCGCTTGGGTGACCATTGAGTCATTAGTAGTCAGCACACTACATACAGTAGGCACTCGGGAAGCATTTGATCTTTAAACAGGAGCAGCTCTCATTCCAGGGATGGAGGGAGATGGGCATTAGCTCTCTAACTGCAGCCTTCACTCCCCAGTACTCTTTGGAGAAGTCGGCCAATGAGAAGAACTGGTAGCCTGAGAGAGGCTAGCTGTTGAGATTAGTCTGTTCTGGGGCAGGGAAGAAAAGCTGAAAGATCCCTTTGATCTGAGCACTGAAGGCTGAGTAGCTTTTCAAACAGGAAGCAGGAAGAGCAGAGGCAGTGGTGATTAAGTGTCGTGATGTGTGATAAGAAGGATGTAAGCAGGAGGTTGGGAAAGAAGCATTAGACTTTAGACTTGGCCAACACCAAATTCCTTGATGGCGGAGGGTTTGCACTCCGAGGTCTGAGGGCTGTGGTGCTCCACGCTGCCTTCCTAAATCTGTCTTGAGGTTAAAACAGTCAAAGGCAGTTTCATGAAGGCCACAGTGGGTTAAGAGAAAGGAGAACATCTGCGTGATGGGGAGACTGTGAACAAAAATCCCAAGAGCTGAAAAGGAGCTCTTGCCAAGAGAAAGACTGCCTATTCAACAGAGGCTCAGAAACTCGGTGACAAAGGAGGGGGCAGTTTATGGTAGAAAGCCTTAAGTCAAATCATTTTCTGAGCCAGGAGTTCGTGATCTCTTGTTCCATCCCACAAAACTCTGTGACTTTAGGGCCTCCCAACTTGTGTATCATTTTTTTTTCTTTTTGTTTTGGTTTTTCGAGACAGGGTTTCTCTGTGGTTTTGGAGCCTGTCCTGGAACTAGCTCTTGTAGACCAGGCTGGTCTCGAACTCACAGAGATCCGCCTGCCTCTGCCTCCCGAGTGCTGGGATTAAAGGCGTGCGCCACCACCGCCCGGCTTTCAGTGTACCAGTTTTATAACTGAGAAAAGTGGAGGCCCACAGAGATGAAGAAACATGCAAGCCTGAGACAGCACAGGAAGGGATAGGCCAGGTGACAGCGTGGGCTAGGTGACCTCCCAGCCTGTACCAGGAGGGCAAGTGAAGGGCATGAGAGTAGCGGGAGGCCTGCCTTACTGTCAGTAGCTAGGCAGGTCTTTTCCTTGTGTAGGGTAGCCAGTAGACACGGAGAGTTCTGAGGTGAAAACAAAGTTTATTACAGGTAAAGGAGCCCTGGAGCCTACCCGCTCGGAAAAGCACCTCCAGTTTTGGTATGTACATCATCACTCTCCCTGGGCAAAGGTTTTACCACACTAATGTAATTCAGTCTGATGAGGGTCAGTTCTAGGCTAGAGCATCACCATCTTGGTGGTCCCCGTTTTTCCTTGACTTCATTGCAGGTCACTGCTGCAGCTGACATTGGGTTCCCTAATCTACTACAATAGTCTCAACAGGTGCCTTCTAACTTGATGTGGGTTTTTATATCCTACCTCTCCGCTGCCATTTGGTGGATAACCTCTAAAACTCATGCTGACATTTAAACACCATAATGATGACCCTTTAAGAAATGATTAGATGACAAGCTCTCACCGTCTTGTAGAGATTGAAACTGTTATTGCAGAAGTGGCTGTATTACTATGGGCATGAGCTCCATGGAAGAAGGTAGGCCCATCTTTTATGATGGGATAAAGCAGCATGGGGGGCCTAAGCAGATGCCCTCGTCATGCCCTTGGGCTTCTGATGCACTGAACCAAAGAAACTTAGTTTCTCTGTAAGTCACTCAGTCTCAGATACAGTATTACAGTAAGAGAAAGCAGCTAATCCCCATAACTTTCCAAGCCTTTCAGAGTATGAGGAGTCTATTGTATTTCTCCTTTCTTTTGAAAGATGTATTTATTTTCTTTTTCTTGTGTACCAGTATTTTATACACACACACACACACACACGCTATACACACCGTATGATGCCCATAAAGATCAGAAGAGGGTGTCAAATTCGCTGGAACTTGTGTCATGGATAGCGGTGAACCACCAAGTGGGTGCCAGGAATCAGCAAGAGCTCACTTTAAACATGGTGGCACCTCTCTAGCCCCCGCTATTGTCTTTCTTACTATTCTTTGTGGGTCTAGAGCCTGGACAAGGGCTCATCTCTATCCTGTTTTAATAAGAGCGTTGTCTATTACACAAGCGTGCCTGCATTTCACGCACACCCAGCCCCTCTCTGCCATATGCTCCTGCCAGCCTGGCCAGTGGCGGATGGATGAGTCGAGGTCAGCCTATGACTTGGAGATTAATCATTGCTGGTATTCATTTAGCAAAAAGCAATCCCTATTGGATGCTATCTATTTGAGTTTTTTCAAGCTCTGTCTTGTGAGGGGGCTGAGCATGAATTATTGAGACACAATCACCAATAGGACAGTGACATTCAGAAGAGCAGTAAGCAGATGATGAGGCAGAAAAGGGCACAGGAAAGCCAGAGAGGATAGAATGGAGATGTTGAAAGAGGAAACAGCTGGATTGCAACAGTACATTTCAGAACAAAAGACATATGGCAGGCTTCATGGGCTCTGAGCTCACACCAGCTCCAGCCTGGCTGATATTTATCTTGGAATTCTTTAAGATCTATTTGTTTTATGTGCATTGGAGTTTTCCCTGCATGTATGTCTGTGTGAAGGTGCCGGGTCCCTGGAACTGGATTTGTGAACTGCCAGAGAATTGAACCAATGACCTCTGGAAGAACAGCCAGTGCTCTTAACCCCTGAGCCATTTCTTGAGCCCTCTATCTTGGAATTCTTAGGATTTCCATTTTGTTCTGGGCCCTCTGAATTAGAAAGACCAAAGTGACCACTGTGACAAAGACTGCTACTAAAAAGAGAAATACCAAAGTCACGTCTCTGAGGGGATGGAGAGGTTTTAGTATTGCAAGCCTCAGTGCTCCAGAGCCTCCGATCACAGCCAGCACAGGGTTCTGTTACCAGCAGTCTCATTAGAACACAAACTTCATTAGTTTCATTTAAAACTTCCAGTGGCGCCCATTGTCCTTAGGCCAAGGCCCTGTACAGTCACCAGCTCACCTTTTCAATGCACCACTCCTTCTCTCAGAGATGAGCGACCGCCATGGGTCAGTTCCAGTAGAGAATGGTCTAGAGTGGTTCTCAACCTGCCTAATGAAAAGATCCTTTGATACAGTTCCTCATGTTGTAGTGACCTTCAACCCTAACATTATTTTCTTGGTACTTTATAACCGAGATTTTACTACCATTATGAATCATAATGTAAATATTTGATATGCAGAATGCCTGATAAGTGACCCCTGTGGGGGTGGGGGGGTTGAGAAACACTGTTTGAGGAGGAAATCTAAATGTAGTTTGGTACCAAATTGTTACAAAGAAGCAGCTCTTCTCGGAGAGCACCCCGGGCACTTGAAAGCTTAAGGCACTTGGAAGTGGGTAGAGGATTAGCTCCTTTGGACACAACAGGAAAGAGAAAGAAATGAGTAAGGGGGAGGAGATAGGGAGCAGCTGATCCTTCCTACCATAGAGCCTCGGGTTAACACAATGTTTGAGATCAGAGGTAAGCCAGAACGGTGGGACAGATGGGTATGACCTCCTTCTGCCCTTTTACCTGGCAGATCTCAGCCTTCCCGTTTAAACAAATGCTGAATAAATATTTAAACGACAGCATTTGAAAGTTTGCAGAGCTGTTGGGCTGCAGGGCAAGACAGCGTTTGAGTCTGGACTTAGCTCTGTCCCTTCTTTTGCCTTCTCTCCACACCCCAGTCTTGTGAGGTCTGAGGCATGATTGCAACAGGCACTTTTGCCTAGAAAATGTTTTCTTTCCTCAGTATTTGCGGGCCAGTCAACTGCAGCCGCCAGATCAGAGGGACAAGGGAGGATTATCGGACCAGCTGGTCAAAGCACACCACAGGCTGCTCTCCAGTTCCAAAAGGGAGGTTCTGTGACTTGAGGAAGGATGAAACCATCGGAGTGTGAGTTCCTTCCGCCACAGACTCCACTGACTCAAGCTTCTCCAAGATGAGGGCTGTCTATCCACTCCACTCTCCCTCCAGGCCCACCTCTTGACCTGCATTGCCCAGCGCAGGGGAAGCAGCTGTCCTGCTTCGTTCTTGAATTTACCATTTAAGGACTAGGGGCCCCTTCGGTGTGTTTGTTTGCACACGCTTTAAATTGATTGCTATGTCTGGTAAATCTAGAACAAGAGCAGAATGCTAGCAAGGGCAGAGGTGACGGGATTGAGTGAGACAATTTAATACCCAGCACCACACTTGCGTAACACGTTTTAATTATTAACATGGTAGGTATCTGATGCTGGGCATTATTTTGAGCTGCTCGTATGTTAAATGCTTCATAGGTGTTCCTTACATTGAGCTCTAAATCCCCGCTGAGCGTCTTCACCTCTCTGTAACCTCACCCCCTCCTTGCCAGGACTTCCAGTATGCAACCAAGATAAAAATGAGAAGAGCCTTTCAAATTCCCCATCTCAGAGGCCATCAAATATTTTGCATTGCAAACAGAAGCAGAATGCCTTATGATAGAATATTCTATTGTATTTTCCCTGAAAGACTACTCTAAAATATTCATCTACTCTACTTAGTAAAAGGAGAGCAGTTCGTGAAGCAGGGGAGTGAGCCTATGAAGCTGTCTCTTGAGCCACAGAAGAATGTCAGTCTGTGGAACCTTATTGCATGAAGTTCTTGGGGCCCCAGAATTGTGATGATGGCGGTTAAATATTAGTGAACACCGTGTGAAAAGAAAACCTAACGCCTGTAGGAATAAGTGAACCCCTGTGCTGTCTTTCTGTTCTTTTTAGAAAGATCATAGCATATTAATGGGGGCTGCCTCTGATTCTTCCTTGGTGGCTGCCAACTGAGTTTGAACATACTGTCCTTCACTCCCCAACGCTGGTCTATTTGGTTGTAGTGCAGTGAATTTTAACAGGCTCTTTCCTCCTTCTTCTCCCTCCTCTCCCCCTAATTTTCTCCTTTTATTTTTTAACTCACTCAAGAATGTTTGCGTTCATCCACTACAGACCAGGCTACTTAACCCATGGAAATGTCCTAAGGAGTAAGGACACTGATGTTGGTAAATTAGAAATTGCCATAGGGGGGCTGGAGAGATGGCTCAGTGGTTAAGAGCATTGCGTGCTCTTCCAAAGGACCCGAGTTCAATTTCCAGCAACCACATGGTGGCTCACAACCATCTGTAATGAGGTTTGGTGTCCTCTTCTAGCCTGCAGGCATATATGTAAACAGAATTGTATCCATAATAAATAAATATTTTAAAAAAAAAGAAGTTGCCATAGGAGTAAGAAGAGATCAGCCCCTGCCTGCTCTGTGTGGGATGGTCTCCTGGAAGAAGCAATCTTCCCCTAAGAGGCAAGAGATGACCACCCCACTCTGCAGGAACTGGACTAGGAGAGTGGTATGGAGTTATCAAGAGCTCTGTCAGGGGCATGTGAAGCTCTTCTGAGCTCGAGGCAGACAGAGGACCCCAGAACCTACATTTCAGCTGCCTGCAACCCTCTGGCAAGCCATTTCGACTGCATCCATGCTGAAGATAACCTTGCTTGTGGGTAATATTACACCTGCCATCTCCTATCATGATCGGAGGGGGCCTTGTGTTGTATGTACCCTGGCCTTGGTCATAACTAAACACTTTCAGTTTACATGGGGAGATGTCTCAGCACTGAGAAGCAGAGCACTTTGACCCAGAGTCAGTGCTCTGAAAGGTGGGGTTAGAATCAACCCTGGAGACTTCTATTTCTAAAATACATGCTCTTCGTGTGATACTAAGGAAGCACTCCGAGGATGACCTTTGGTAAATCTTCTGATCTGAAAATGGGACCATCACACAGTTGCCAGAAATTCCTCAAGTGGGCAAAGGTTGTAACTTAGGAAACAGTGTGACTGTTTAATGCTGTGGAATAATGCCCCTGTACACTGTAAAGATTTTTTTCACTCATATTGGTTTAATAAAACACCAAGCAGGAAGTTTAGGCAGGGTGACCAGATCAGAGAATTCTGAGAAGAGGAATGGCAAAGACATAGTCACAAGTCAGACTCAGAGGAAGCAACTGAGAAAAGGTACCAAGCCACGTGGTAAACATAGATAAGAATTATGGGTTAATTTAGGTTGTAAGAGCTAGTTAGTAATAAGCCTGAGCAACAGGCCAAACAGTTTATAATTAATATAATCCTCTGTGTGTTTATTTGGGACTGAACAGCTGTGGGACCTGGCAGGACAGAAACTTCCATCTGCAGTTTTCCTATGTCTCCACTATAAAAACAGAAATCGAGCAAGGTCTGGAATAATGAAAATGCTCAAGACAAAAAGGGGATAGGGTGGGGAGAGCCAGCAACTTCATAAAGTTGTTTTTACTGTTTACATTATAAACACTCCCCTATCTTGAATTCTTCTGTTTCTTAAACAAATACAGAGTAAAGTAATACTCTTCTTTCTTTCTTTCTTTCTTTCTTTCTTTCTTCCTTTCTTCCTTTCTTCCTTTCTTCCTTTCTTTCTTTCTTTCAAGTAAAACAAATACTCCTTGGAAGGGACAGCCTTACTTTGTCAACAACAAGGGCGTTTGCTGGGATATTTTATTAAAATATTAACTTTTCTTTTTAATTATTTGTATGTGTTAGTGTCTATGTGGGGATTTGTGCATATAATGCAGATGTGCACAGAGGCCAAAAATGTTGACTCCAGCAGAGCTGGAGTTTGAGGGGGGCTGTGCACTGCCAGATGTGGTCGCCAGCAATCCCACTCTGGTCTTTTAGAACAGCAGTTTGTGCTCTGCCCACTGTCTCTCCAGTCATAGTGGGAGACATTTGCTCTGACAAGAGAAAGAAACTAAGGACGTGGGAAAAGTCTGAATGTCCACACAAGTTAGAGACGGAGAGGCAGGCATGGAGGTTGGAAATTGATGACATTTCTTCAGGCTTTCACAATATAGTTTGCTAAGCCACAAGTCTGTCTGCGTTCTCAGAGGCTACCTCACATTTCTCCTGGACATTTGCTCAAGGAGGTGTATGGTTTTCTCCGCTGTGAAATATCTTCATAGCTACTGAAGTCGGTTTCACACCCTTCAAGTGACCTCTGCAATTCCCTTCATCAGAAATCATCCCCGTCTCTCCTAATCACTCACATCAATCTTGTTCTTCAGTTAATAAGGCTTCCATCTTTTCCCCCTTCAAAAATAAAACCCCAAAATTCCAAGAATCATTGCTTAATATGGTCTCTCTCCTGAGGGACCAAGTCTAGAGCTGTGTAGATGCTAGGAAATTAATAAATGGATAAAAGACTAGAAATGAAAATGTGTTCTTCTCTGACTTAAGTAAATCTTTGTGGGAATTTGTCCATAAATAGCGACCACAAGGAGTTTTTCAGGCCTTTGAAGGACTGCTGTGGGCTTGATGAGGGTTCTTTGACAGGAAAAGAAGTGCGACCCAAATAGTCTCTCCTGCGCTAAGAGGCATCATTTCAAGAGAGTGGGCCGTTCACAGGCAAACATTTGAAATTCTGTACTATGTGCTAGGCCAATTAGAAGCAATTGGATTTATGAATTTTTTATTTTTTCTGATTGATTTTCTATTTAGTTTTCCTGAATAAGTACTTAAATATCTTCCTATAACATTCACCCGTTTTCTTGATTTCTCGTCCTGGAGAACCAACCTTTTAGCAATTATATGAGCCCTTCACACATTTTTTTTCTTCCACCTCTTTTAAAAGAGTTTATTGAAATCCTCTTCAGATAAAAAACCTTGAAATCATTAAGCAGATCGCTGTTGAGAATCACATTAATTCTTCTATTTTTCTTCTTAACAGAGATGGCTGGTGGACACCTTAGAATAGCAATGAGGTATGGTATTTATCTATAATACCTCGTTCATGATGAATAGCTAATTTAGTCAGAAATCCCATTCCTGAAGCATTTCAATCACGGTGGAATGAGGTCTGATCTTGTCCTCCTTCCCCAGAAGGAGGTGTCCTCCTTCAGAATGGAGGTGTCCAGCTGGTGATGTTTCCCCGAGTGTGAGCCTTGCAGAATGAGAAGTGTGAGCTGTCACTTCTCAATTCCTGGACTCAAACAGCCTGCAGGAGCTCAAGCCTTGGTCATTGTTATTTTTACCCAGGGATTTCAACACCTGTCTCAACTTCCTCTTCCCTGTCTTAAATATTGCCACAGCTGTTCTAGGTGGCTTCACCTGGCCTTGGTTTATGGCGTTGCTGTTCAAAGTGTAGACCTTAGACCAGGAGCTTGTTAGAGATAACAAACTCAGACTCGGCTCCAGAACTACTGGATAAAGTTTTCATTTTAGTAAATCTATAGTTTGGCTGTTGTTTGAGTATGTCCACCTTGTATACCTGTTTTCTGAGTTTAGCCCAGATGCCATACCACTGGGAGGTAGTGGAGTCCAATGGGGAGAAATTAGGTGACCAAGATGGTTGGATATAAAAGGAAGGGAAGGAAATAACGCCTCTCTATGAACACCGGGCTAGCTCTGAGAAGAGGTTGATGTAACAAAGCAATCCTAGTCCCTCCCTGCCCTCTGGCTTCCTCTCATAGGAGAGATCCCTGCTGTTACTATCACTATGATACAATGTAGCCAGAAGGGCCCTCCCAAGAACTGGTACAATACTCTTTGAACTACCAGCCTCCCACAGTGTGATTTAGAGCAACATCTATCTCTTCCTAACTTATTTAAGTTATTGAGTCTCAAGTATTTTGTCCTCAAAACAGGACTAAGTAGAACAGGTTCACACACACACACACACACACACACACACACACACACGACAGTTGTGAAACACTGCTCCACACTGTAGAGAGGGAGAGACTGTTTCGGCTTCCTCAGAGTTCACAAGCAGATGAGGCAACGAGGAAAAGAAAAAAAACAGTCTAGGGAAACTTGGATAGAGATCCAAAGAAAAGTGATTAAGAGTGATGCTGAGAATGTCAGAAGGGAAGAAAAACTTCGTACACTGCATTTTTTTGCCAAAAAAGATGGCTCTGGGCACCAGCCTTTCTACTTGAAGCCAAGAGAAACATCATCCAACTGTGTAATTTGAAATAGGAACCACAGTGTTTCTTCCAGCTCTTCTGGGGGCGGGGTGAGATCAGGAAGGCTGCCTAGCAGGGCAGGACCTCAACTTCCCCGTTCCTGACAGATTGCAGCCCCACAAACTCCCGTTTCTATTTAACCACTGGCTTGAGGAAGAAAAAAGCCATTTTTCACTGCTGTTTTCTCCTTGAATAAAACCAGTGCTCTAATGGGTGTGGGTGTGTGGGTGTTAATTTTAATAGGGTACTGAGTTGGGTTTTGGTTTGCTTGTTTGTTGGGGTTGCTGCTGTTTTCTGTTTAATCCCCCTGACCTAGGACTAGAGGCATCTGAAGGTCTGCAGAAGGGGAGTTGGTAAGTACCAGGCTCAGCAAGAGACTATTATTTCATTTCTCAGAAGATGTATCGCTGTCAGGTACTACAACATCTGAAAATGAGACCTGTCTCTTTTCTGGCTTGACTCAACTCTTAACATGGCTTGGCATGGGTGCTACTGATGGATTCTTCACCACAGAAGCTCCAGACAACGGCTTTGCAGGAGCAGCGGTGGGACATACACAGGCGTGACTCTGCCGTGCCTCCTCTGACCCGCACTTTGTCCCCGGAGGCCATCAGGCAAGTGCAGACACGCAGTTGCACACATATCCCTTGCTCATACTGGGAAAATGCCAGTGCCCAGAGAATATATCTTGGTGATCCAGGAAATCCAAGGCCCACAGCCAGATATTGTGCTGAGATGAAGGGCCTTTCGCTTGGCCAAACAACTGCAAATGACAATACAGAAGTAGAAAGGGAGTCGGGGCACAGCGGATCACTGGCCACTCCCACAGCTCCAGAGCCTGGCTGCTATTAATCACTCTGCCCGCATCCGTGAGGCTTCTCTCATTTGGTCACAGCTCATGGTCAGAGCGGCACAGCCGGGGTCTCCTGATAAATCAGATACAAGAGTTCCACGATGACGATGATCGAGGTGAATGGGGGATAAACATATACCATCCTAGCTATGAGTCCCTGCTCTCAAAAATGGAGGAAAGCAGTGTCTGCTGATTTCCAACCCGGTCGACGAGCTTCAATTACGCACATGTAGTTTCTCTAAATCCTCTTTTTCCTCATCTCTTTTCATGTTATTATCTAAATACATTAATAATATTTCTCATCTCAGACCAAGAAACTGAAACTCAGAGATGTTAGAAAATGTGCCTCAGACTCTACAGGTATTGGTGAGGTCCGCGTATGGAGGTCCAGGAGTTGTAACAGAAAGAACAGAGGGAGACAGATGGCAGGGAACTGAGCTCAGAAGGGAGCAGGGATGAGAAAGGAAAACAGAAAGGGGTGTGGTGATTACCTTTTGTCAACTTGACATAAGTTAGAGTCACCTGGGAAAAGGGAGCATCCAGTTGAGGAATCGTCCCTGTGCAAGGCCCGTGGACATGTCCGTGGGTATTTTCTTCATTGTTAACTCATGAGGGAGGGCCCAGACCACTTTGGGAGGTGCCAGCCCTAGGAAGACTGACCTGTACTGCGTATTAAAAATACCTATGCAAGCTAGCCAGCAGCTTTCCTCCAGGCTTGCTGCATCAGTTCCAGCCTCTAAGCTCCTGCCTTGGAATCCCTCAGTGATGGGCTGTAACCTGGAAGACAAAATAACCAAGTTGGTTTTGGTCAGTGCTTATCACTACAATGGAAAGTGTGCCAAACAGGAAGAAAGACTACAAGGAATAGTCCAAGTATAGGAAGCCAATTAGCTTCACAGCCAAGATTCCCAGGTTACTGCTTTGCTACGTTCAGGCTGGAGACCTGGTAACAATCATCTAACCGCGGATTCTCACTTTGCAGACTAAAGGTCGTGGTCTCCAGTCAACTGCTCCATGCTTTTCGATCCCCGAAGCTGGAGATGTACAAATGGGAGCTATTGCTTGGAGTTTAGGGTAGCTTTGCTGAGTGGCCGGTGTGTGGGTAAAGATACAACGTCAGATCACTGTATTTAGTTGCAGGAGCGGGACCCGGCGAGTCCCTAAATGCGTCACTAAGTGGGATAAAAGGCTGAACAGTGAGAGCCTGTGAGGCTTGTGGAACTGACCCCCGGAAGAGAGGTAACCGGGTGTTTCTGGGGGTGGACACAGGAAGCCATCTTTGCTCTGAAATTCCGGAGAGCGGAAATCCCGTTTCCTACATCCTTCATGGAAGAGTAACCTCCGCTCTTCTCCCCTGAGTAGGAGGAAGATGTCATCGACTTCAGTACGGTGCCCTAAGGACACACTGGTGACAGCCTGGGAAGAGTAAAAATGACAGCGCGGTGCACCGTGCTGGGTTGAGCCGGAGGGACCAGGAAGTTTGGCTCTGGGCATTCACCCCAGAGAGTTAACAGTTAAGCCTTTCAGAGCCAGGTGAGGGAATGACAGAAAATAGCTATTGTGAAATAACGTCCAGAAAGAGGGAAGCAGCAAGGAATGTGGTGTTTGTGTGCCGCAAGCAAGCAAGCGAAGAAGGTCTTCTGAGCGGTTTCTGTGAGGGGTGGGGACAGCGCAGGAGTGACTCACGCTGCCGATCTGGAAGTTTCTTGATGACTGAGTGGCTGGAAATGAGGTTGGATTGAGCTTAATTTTGTATAGCTGAGCAGGAAAACAATGTTGCATTTATAAAAAACACCAGACTTTCAAATGGGTGCCTAAAGAGAGTTGATTTTCTTTCCCTGGTGGTGTTATGCCCAAATCCACGGAAGTCTCCACAAAAACCAACAAGGAGACTGAGTCCCTTATGTAAAAACAAAGAGCCTTTATTTTATGCAAGTTTGCAAACTTGGTCTCTCCACATGTCCAATAAACGGAGAGCCCCAAGCTCAGTTAGAGTTGGGTTTTTTTAGTACTAGGATTTCTGAAGTTCAGGGCCCTTAATTGGCTGACTTTTGTCTAGGGGTGTGCTGGTGAGTGTGTGCTGGCAGGTGATCCTATCTACATCTGTTGGTCCTTAGGCATTTCCTTTGGATGGTCTGTTCTTGGGCAGTGCTCGGGGTAATCTTAGTTTATGGTCCTTCCTGAGTGCTTATGGTGAGTGCTACTCTGGCAGGTGATCATGGTTGGAAGTAAAAACTTCCTTTGGGTGATCTGTTCACTTTTAGCTTATCATGGCTAGCTCCTACAGTGGTACTGTACAGAAATAACTGAGCAAATCAGAAAGAGGAAAAAAAGTAGATAGGCCCATATCCCAGACCAATCCAGGGAGGAGAAAGCAGCCAGCCTTTCTTCCTAGGTTCTCCAGGAAGGAAGAGTGGGCTAAATGGCATCCCAGAAGCTATAACCACAAACAAATCTTAGGACCTTGTGAAAAGTCTTTGGAAGTGGAATTAAGTTAAAGATCTTGAGAAGAGATTATCCTGGATCATCCAGGTAAGGCCAGAAATCACCAGAAGTAGCCTTACCAGAGACACACTGGAATTTAGACACGTAGAAAAGATGGTGTGCAGGGGAAGGGAGAACCCACAGCCATGCCTGGAGCTACCACGAAGGCAGAAGATCGTCCTCCAGAGTGACTGCTGAGACCTACATTTCAGGCTCCTATCCTGCAGAATCAGAAGAGCAGGTATTTCTGTTTGGGAAGTTACCAAGCAGAGGCTTGTTCCTTACTGCAGACACTGTCAACTGGTGATAAACGGGTGACAGTGACAGCATTGCTTGGTGGCAGAAATCACAAGAAGTCTCCTGCTTTCTCTCTTACGTCCAGGACCGGGTGCATTCCCAAGAACCAAAGAGGCAGTACTGTTGATTGTATCTACTCTGCAGAGGAGGGTAGAGTTTCAGAACCCAATGAGACCCCTACAGGGCTTCTTCTTGACGAAAGAACCCATTGAAAATAAGAACCAGTACTGATGGATTCGAAGAGGGGACAGTCACAATCTTTAGTTTCGTTCTCACTGCTGAGCCCACCAGTTTCCAGTGGATACTTCCAAACTGTTCCATGGCCACACAGATGGCCTTGGTTAAGTTCGGTGGGTCACAAAAGGACTTGGATATGGATTGGGAAAGGGACATGTCAGGACAAGTGGGGACTGGCAAGAGTAAGAGGAGAAGAAAGATATGGGGTGACCATAACTAGAATGTGCTATCTATGTTGTATACATTTATAATATATACTATATACGATGGAGGGAAGGAGGAAACAGGAGTCAATAGAAGATCAAGTGAATGCACATTCCTGGGGTCTAAACATTAAACTGTAGCTGGCCACCCAGGATCATGGTGAAAACCCAAAAGCCCTGCGAGTTAAAAACTGAAGCTCAGAAGAGTAAGATATGATAGCAGTCAATCAGGCTTGGATTTGGATGCCAGCCCTACCAATCAGTTGCTCTGTCCCTTGTCCAACCTAATCTTTAAAACACAAATATTAACCTTCCCTGGCCGGCTGGCTGTTATAAGCTTTAAAGCATGTCACAGAGCACATGTGTCTTCCTGGAAAAGCTGGGGAAATAGCTTCTGCTGCTGTTGCCCAAGGACACTGGGATCACAAGACGTGCCTATGTGACATGGGAGCCATGATCCTTCCAGAGCAGAGCCTGCCTCACTCTACCTGTTGCATTGGATTGCGTTCCTGCAGGAAACTGGCCTGCCGTGTGCAGCAGCTACCTTCCTGTGCTCTCTGGAATCACAAGGGCTAGAAACATGTAAATTTTGTTTCTAGGACTCCTCTGCCAGTGGGTTCCAGCATAAACTATGCCCAAGGAATACCCTCGTGGGTAACAAGGGCTCTTTTTCAGTCTCCCTTTGGGAAGCAAACATCAGTTGCTGACTCCACAGAGGTGCCAAGGGTAGAATATCTGTCCAGGGCCAAGGCCAGTGACTGCTGGCTTGGGTAACATCTGAGTAAGTAGCAGGGGTAGAGTCCCATAGGCTCAGAGACAAGCAGGTTCCTATGGCAGCTGGAAAAAAAGACTTCAGTACCCAGTGTCCGTGGTGATGCCCCCACCCCAAACTTCACCTCTAAATTAAATTTCTCTTTACTTGAAATACCTACTATGACGTCTTGTTCATGACATCACTTCTATTGGAAGGTGTGGGGGTACTAGGAGTATAGTTTTATGAGGTCAAGGACATTTTCTTCATTGGGAAATAGACCCTTAAGTGTAAAATTACAGATAAGCTTTCATGACAACACAGGAAGACCTAGCATCTAGGCCACCCATAGCCTCTCTTCAGATGTAATCAGTGATTGCATCAGAGCTTGCCCTTAGAAGAAGTGCCCCAAGGAGGAAAGAGGGAAGGAAAGGATGAGTGCAAAGAGCACTCTTGTTCAGTGTTCTGGCCAGTTTTATGTCAACTCAACGTGAGCTGCCATCTGAGAGGAGGAAACCTCACTGAGAAAATGCCTCTGTCAGGTGGGGCTGTAAGCAAGCCTGTAGGACGTTTTATTTAGTGATTGGTGTAGGAAGGTAAAGCCCATTGTGGATGTTCCCACTGGGCTGGTGGCCCTGGGTTCTATAAAAGCGAGCCATGAGGAGCAAGCCAGTAAGCAGCACTCCTTCATGGGCTTCACATCAGCTCTGGTTTCTAGGTTCACTCCTGGTTTGAGTTCTCGCTTGGTTTCTCTCAGTGGATTGTGATTTAGAATTATGTAAGCCAAATAATCCCTTTCCTACCCAAGCTGGTTTTGGTTTTCGTGTTTCATCACAGCAATGGTAACCATAACCAGGGAAGTCCTAACTGTACCAGCTTACTCAGTTTTTAACAGAGTAGTAAAATACACCTGAAATGAAATATATGTTGTCAACAATCAGACACTATTCAGCTTATTGAGACCATCTCTCCCTCATCTGAAACTCATAAATTAGGCTAGGCTGTCTAGTCATGAAGCTCTGTCTCTCTCCACCTCCCAAGTGCCCACGACCACTCAGCTTTTTTTTTTTTTCTGAAGGTCAAACTCATGCCTTCATGCATGACAGCAACTACTTTGCTATCTCCCACTTCATCGCCACTTTCGCCATTTTTAAGAGGATGGTTCGGTGGCACTAGGCACATTCACATCTTTGTACCGTCATCACGGCCCGCTTTCAGACATCTCCCCTTAGTCTTTAGATCAATCCTCACCATGTAGCCCACCGGCCTCAAGTGCATAATTCTCCTGTCTTAATTTTCCTGGAGCCGGGTTCACCGCGTCCAACCTCAGAACGTTTTTCTATTTCCCCAAACTGAAACGTTCTTCCAATTATATAATAACTAATTACTCGTGTCCTCCTATTCCTAGCCCCTGGCAGCCTCCATCTTACTTCCTATCTTTCTGAATCTGTACAGTCTAAGAACCTAGACAATAGAACTGTAATGTACTTTTTCTTTGGGGTCAAGAATAGTTCCCTCTGCAATAATGTTTATCCGAGTTGCAGTATGTGTCAGAAATCATTTAAAGCTGAGTTTGTGAACTGGATATACCACGTTTTACTTACCCATTCATCTCTTCATGCACTTTTGGGTTGCACTGCTATGAACAATGCTGCTGGAGCACTAGTGTAAGAATATCCACTCAGATTTGCTCTGCTTTCAATTCCTATGGGGATGGGTGTTCTACTCAGAATTGCTGAGTCCCAGGGTGACTCTAGGTTTAATTTTGGGGAACTACCACTCTGTTTTCTACAGCAACGGGATTCTTTGATTTTCCAGCCTACAGTGTACAAGCGCTCGGATTTCTCCACATCCTACCTGCACTTGTTGTTGTCTGCTGTTTCAATAAGAGCTATCCTAGTGGGTGGGAATTGATATCTTGTCATGATTTTGATTTATATTTTCCTAATAATCAAGGATGTTGAACCTGTCAAGTATTTACAGGTTATTTCTGTATCTTCTTTGGAGAATGTAACTTGGCTTTGAACATGAATGGAAAGGAGAATAAAGACACTCATGTAACTGAGGAAAAAGAAAGCCGTCTTTCCCCCTAATTTGAGTTTCAGGAAAGGAAACTATCTCTCCTAAAGAAGGTATGTGAGCCCATGTCCTGCAGATACTGAGTACAAATGAACACGGAATGGTGGCGCTCTTCCCCGTCAACTAAACCATATGCAGACACAGACTCCAACACAAACTCAAACAAGTCGCCAGATAAAACGCATATGGCGCTCAATTTCTACTAACGCCTGCATAAAGCCCTACGAGGATAGCCTTTTCCTTACCCTTCAAGTTGTGCGTGGCTTCAGGTGATGGGTGCATTTTCAGATTCCAGGGCAGGGAGGCGAGACAAATATAAAAGGGAGAGTAAATGAATGAACAGAATAAGGAATTGCCTACCGCTCCTCCTTCCCACACCATACTGATGCGCTGACAGGGAAACTTGGAAGTGTGTAGGAAAGAAGACTCTGGCGGCCAGGAGGGAGGCCAATCACCTGCTCATGTTTACAAAAGGCATTTGTCTGAAATGGGAGCTCTGGAAAGAGCCTATATTGAAACCCAGACACTAGACAGATCTCAGTTTTCATAATTCCTTTCCCCCTTCCCTTCTCATGTTTTGAGTCTCAAGTGTGTGCAAAGTATTCAAGCATCTGGGACCCGACTCATCACCACTCTCTACAGCGTTCATTGCGCTTTGTGCCAGTCACAAAAGAATAGCAATGAAGTTAATCAATGGCCACGTTATCTAGAATCTATATTGAATAGCGTTGCTAGCTTGGTGTTTTTAGCAAAACAAAAAAAAAAGGAAAAGACAAAAATTGTGCTAATGGTAAGTATAAACAGAGTGACTGCTGCATCACAGATGCCCAACATGTATGAGTGAAGGGATGGAAAAATCTGTGTGCCCACATTGTTCTTCTGAGTCATATAACTGCTCCAGAGTTGATGTTCTTACAGCCCTTCCACTTGTCAGCCTTTGGGTCATGTAACTAAGAGTCACCTTCAGCTACTCCCTGCTCCCTTTCCCTCCACCATTCGGGATTGTCATAGTACCTTCCAATGGAGTCCACAGCATTTCTACTCAAAGTTGTATTTCACAGCTTAGCTTGGACCGTGTCACCTGTCTCCTGACTCTCCTCTTTCCTAGACTCTTCCTATACTCTCAAATAGCCACTAAAATTCCAACACAGTGACTTTTCTTCCTTATCACACTGAATAACACCAGGAATATCATTTCTAGAAGCCTGGGTAACAGAGGCAACAAACATATCCATGAAGAATGTAAGCACAGGACTGGTCATTATATTACCATTTTCAAAAAAAAAAAAAATCCCTAACAATACAGAAATGACAAATGCATTGACTGTCCAGGAAATGGAACGTGATGAAACCATGGCAGAGAATTAGCTAGGCTACAGGAACTGACATGGCAACGTGTCTGTAATTGGGTGTTATCTTTTAAAAGTTGCAGGCAGAGCACAACGCCATGGCATGAAATAAATTGGAGAAATGCACAGGAAAGAATCGCTACAGAAGGCTCTGCTGCTATACCCTGGAAGGTCCACATCCCAGATCCACGTTACTGACATCACGGCTTATACATTAGGATAACGTCAGAGAACTTAAAATTGAGGAGCATCCTTCCCACCAGATAGAACAGCACATTGTGCCTGCTTCTATGAATAAAATGTGAGTTTTTATGTTGACCATCTGCTTTCCCTCTGGGAGTCTAAAATTTTGATATGTACCCGTCAGAGCAAGACTACCCACGATATCAACCCCCCCCCATTCGAATACTGAATAACGAGTCTCTAAAGTGCTTCCCTAGTAGATGACATTCCCCGTACCATCTTAGAGAATCACGGTGGGGCAGTTCCACCAGAACTTGGTACTTAGCCTCTTCCAGACTGTGCCTCATGAGCCTTTTGCCTTGGTTGATCTTGTTCTATCTTTTCATTGTAATAAATCTTAACTTGGGAATAAAACCCTAAGGGTGCACACATAAGCTACATTTATACATGTACCAGAAACGTCTAGAACCACTGAAGACGTTTAATTCTTAGAAGCAAGTTAAAATGACCACTTCTTCCTTTCTTCTAGTATTATGGGAATATGACTGAGTTTTAATTGCGTGTCTCTTCGGTGACTTGTCACGGAAAATGGTTGCTTACATGAATGACACCATGTCACAAATGGTCCCTGAAGGGACATTCTGCTTATTTTCCTAAACATCTTCGGCGACAGATTAGCATTAGGCCTAGCACAGCATAGGTGACGGAAGTGATGGCACTCATTGAATTTGAAAGCAAACAGATATGCATAGAAGTGACTCAGACAGAACCCCCAAAGATGTTGTTTCCATGTAGACTCCCCTTCCGGGTTTCGGTGCCTTTCATCTCGCAGTTTATTTTCATCTTTTTCAATTTTCAGCCCCCACTTGGAAGAGAGAGAGAGGAGAAAGCAAAAACAAAAAGTAAAAAAAGAGGTGAGAGGCAGATGCCAATAGATAAATGGCTACAGTTTAATTTCGTCTCTTGGCTCAGCCAGGGGCAAGCAGCTGGCCCTTTCATTTGACATGGTTTATCCTGAAGAGTATATAGTATGCCTTCCTTCTCAAAGACATCTCCGCTGTCAGCCTGGCTGCTGTATAGAAGAACACCCTCAGCCTGGCTGCTGTATAGAAGAACACCCTGAGTGTGTGCCAGTGAGGGCACGAAGCGAAGAAGGAGACTCTTAACATTTGAATATGCAGCTTAGAGAAAGAGGGTGAGGATTTGGTCAACGGTAGGATACTCATTTGTAGAGATAAGTACGGGTTAGTGTTTGTTCCTCACCTCGGACTTTGATAATATAGAGCTGTGAGTTCTTAAAAGTCAGCCAGCTCATAAAACTGGATACATTTAAATTCCAGCAGCAAATTCTGAGGGTTGAGAGAATGTGGAGCTTGAAGGAATCCGGGTAATTAAGGAAATACGCAGGGACACTCAACCAATGGGTCAAGAGCGCGAGAGGAGGTTGAGAGCCTGTGAGTAGTAAACCCTGCCTTAACCTCTGGTCTATCTTCCAAGCGGGCACCAAGCCAGCATTCTTAAATGTCTTCTTGCTTAATCCTAGATAAGCATATACTGTATAAACAGATAGAAACGTAGATGGCACCAAAACGCATGCTTCACGTACGCATACAAATTTTGTTTCTCCCCGTCGCAGCCAATCTGTGAAATGTTCCCACTAGAAAAACAAGTACATTCAACTGGTCAGCCTGGCCCTGCTCAGGCTCTAAGAATAATTTAGAGACATCTAGAGCTGTAATTTAAATAGCAGCATTGCTCCTTTCTGGGCTACTGCTATGCGGGCTTCCAGCCACTGTCTTAAATAGGCTTTAATCCCTGGGAAAGAGCAGAGCCTGCTTGTTTTGAGTGCTGCGGCCTGGCAAAAAAAGGTGAATCTATCGACTCCCATTACAGAATGTCAGTGTCTGCTTGACATTTTCATTACTAATAGTAGTTTTTCAAAGCAAATTCACACTTCAGTTGCTTCTTAGTGGTCATAAATGGTTGTCAAACCTTGCCCGGGTTCATCTAGATATTCCTTTGAGATATTCTTATTAGCAAGTGAGCATGTTCCTTCCACTCACTATAATCTATAACCCGCCTGAGCCAAATACAAAAGGGGAACTACCCATGATGATTTCTTCTGGGGTCCTTGCCAGTGATCTTTCACGTGGCTTCAGTTGATAAATGAGAAAGCAAGGACTTAAAGTTATAAATCTGAATTTGGAACTCAATGCAAAACAGTTGAGCGATTATTCAAGTTAATAGTTTGGGAAACACTGCTGACAGAGGATTCCAGACGCCCTGTGGCTGAAGAAGAGTTAACTGGAGAAAGCAGGAGAGGCATTCAAAGGGTTACCCCGGCTTTGGCCAGATTTGATTTCATTCCGGGTCACTTGGAAAGCCCGTGGTAGGAAGTTTACTGAGCAGTGGGGTGGTGTGATCTGATTCAGCTTTGATCAAAAGCAACCAAAGTAAGACAAAAGAGAAGTGTTGATGTTGGCAGAAAAGAAGATGATGTTTTGGACCATGGGAGAAGAGTTGAGATGGCGAGATATGGTCTTATTCCCAACGGATTCTGAAGGCTGGACCCTCAGGATTAGGGGCCTTGCGGGAGGTGAGGGAGGAAGGCAGGCGAGATGGCAGGGGTCATGCCAAGGCTGAGATTGTAAGAAAACTGCAAATCCGCAGCTGGTATCCTCAGTCTCCTTTAGCTACACACTTCCAGCACGTTTTTCTTCGGCAGTACCACTGTAGGCTTGGGAACTCTAAAAACTGACAGACATTTCAGCCGAGGTCAATTAGAAGGCTGTGCCTAGAGTATATTTCCACTGAAGTCACCTGCCTCTTGGGCCCAATAAACCGAGTCATTTCCGAAGCAAAGGAAGGGTCAGCAGATGGGTCACGTTAGTCACCAGTGGACTTCAGTGTGAACACATGCAAGGTCTGGTTTGTCCTTAGCTCAGGTCTCCACTGACCTCTGACTCCCAGAGAGACAGACATGAAGAACATTGGGAAGAGAGCGGGTTCTATTCAAATCACTTGAAGACCACTGTGGAAGAGGAGACAAGAGCTCAAAAGCTGCAGGTGTGGATGAGAGCTGAAAAACGCTCTGGCTGTGATAGAGTCAGTGAAATCTACAATCACAGAAGCTCGGGTTCCCAGCACTGGACCTCACCAGACTGGTCCTGCCAGAGATCATTTACAGACAGGAAGAAGCTCATCCATGGCCTTGTCCTCCAGCCCCACCCCTGCTGAACTACTGGTACATAAATATTCTGGAGAAGGAAGATCATTGTCTTGAGCTGTGTACCCATTGGTAGAGCCCACTGAACTCCTATGGATAGTTACATGCCCAGGATCACACAACTCATGTTGGTTAAACTCAATGGGTCTGAGAAATCACCCATAGTGATATCCAAAGGGGCTGTACCAGCTTGCACTCCCACCGGCAATGGAGGAGTGTTTCCTTTACCTCACAACCTCTCCAGCGTAAGTTGTCATCAGTGTTTTTGATCTTGGCCATTCTTACAGGTGTAAGATGAAATCTCAGAGTTGTTTTGATTTGCATTTCTCTGATGACTAAGGATGTTGACCATTTCCTTAACTGTCTTTCAGCCATTTTAGATTCCTCTGTTGAGAGTTCTCTGTTTCAATCTGTACCCCATTTTTTATTGGATTATTTGTTCTTTTTATGACCAATTTCTTGAATTCTTTGTATATTTTGGAGATAAGACCTCTGTTTTATATGGGGTTAGTGAAGATCTTTTCCCATTCTGTAGGCTGTCATTTTGTCTTGTTGACCATGTTCTTTGCTTTACAGAAGCTTTTCAGATTTAGGAGGTTCCATTTATTAATTGTTTTTCTCAGTGTCTGTGCTGCTGGGGTTATATTTAGGAAGTGGTCTCCTGTGCCAATGTGTTCAAGTGTACTTCCCACTTTCTCTTCTATGAGGTTTAGTGTGGCTGTCTTTATGTTGAGGTCTTTGATCCATTTGGACTTGAGTTTTGTGCATGGTAATAGATAGGGGTCTATTTTCATTTTTCTACGTGTTGATATCCAGTTATGCCAGCACCACTTGTTAAATATGCTTTCTTTTTCCCATTTGATTCTCTCTCTTTTTCTTTTCCTTTCTTTCTTTCTTTCTTTCTTTCTTTCTTTCTTTCTTTCTTTCTTTTTGCTTCTTTGTCAAAAATCAGGTGTTCAAAGGTGTGTGGATTAATATCTGGGTCTTTGATTCAGTACCAATGGTCCTCCTATCTGTTTTTATGCCAATACCAGGCTGTTTTCAGTACTGTAACTTTGTAGCAGAGTTTGAAGTCAGGCATTGTGATGTCTCCAGAAGTTCTTTTATTTACAGGATTATTTTGGCTATCCTGGGTTTTTTGCTTTTCCATATGAAGTTGAGTACCCTTATTTCAAGGTCTGTGAAGAATTTTGCTGGGATTTTGATGGGCATTGCATTGAATCTGTAGATTGCTTTTGGTAAGATTGCCATTTTCACTATGTTAATTTTACTTATCCAAGAGCATGGGAGATCTTTCCACTTTCTGGTGTCTTCTCCAATTTCTTTCTTCAAGGATTTAAAGCTCTTGTCATATAAGTCTTCCAGTTGTTTGGTTAGGGTTACTCTTAGATATTTTATGCTATCTGTGGTTATTGTGAAGGGTGATGTTTTTCTGATTTCTTTGTTGGCCCATTTATCATCTGTGTAAAGAAGGGCTACTGATTTTTTTTTTTTAGTTAATCTTGTATCCTGCTACATTACTGAAAGTGTTATGAATTGTAGACGCTCCTTGGTAAAATTTTGGGGGTTGCTTTTGTAAACTATCATATCATCAGCAAATAGTGAGAGTTTGACCTTTTCTTTTTTGATTTGTATCCCCCTTGATCTCTTTTGTCTTATTGCTCTAGCTAGGACCTCAAGAACTATATTGAATAGATATAGAAAGAGTGGACAACCTTGTCTTGTTCCAAATTTCAGTGGGATTGCTGTTTCTCTCCATTTAGTTTGCTGTATATTGCCTTAATTATATTTAGGTATGTTCCTTGTGTCTCTGCTCTCTCCAAGACCTTTATCATGAAAGGATGTTGTATTTTGTTGAAAGCTTTTTTTGGCATCTGATTAGATGATTACAACCTTCCTCAAGATCCAGCAGTACCACTTTTGGGTATATATCCAAAGGATGCTCAATGGTGCCACAAGGACATGTGCTCAACTACGTTCATAGCAGCATTGTTTGTCATAGCCAGAACCTGGAAACAACCTAAATGCCCTTCAGACTAATAATGGAAAAGGAAAATGTGGTACATTTACACGATGGAGTACTACACAGCAGAAAAAAAAATAACATTTTGATATTTGCAGGAAAATGGATGGAGCTGGAAATCATCATATTGAGTGAGGTAATCCAGACCCAGAAAGGAAATTATCACATGTACTCACTCATAAGTGGTTTTTAAACATAAAGCAAAGAAAACAAAACCAGCATACAAATCAAAATCCCGGAGAACCTAGACAACAATGAGGATACTAAGAGAGACTTACATGGATCTAATCTACATGGGAAGTAGAAAAAGACAAAATCTCCCAAGTAAATTGGGAGCATGGGGACCATGGGAGAGGGTTGAAGGGGAAGGGAGAGGCAGGGAGGGGAGCAGAGAAAAATGTAGAGCTCAATAAAATCAATTAAAAAAATAACTACTTTAAATTCAATAGGTCACAAAACAGACACGAACATGGAGAATGGGTTTGTAGTGGTGATGAGGTGTTGACAGGGGTCGAGATGAGAGTAATTTGGATGCATTTTATACGTGTGTGAAAACGTCAAAGGACAAATCTAAAGATTTATTTTGAGTATTTTTAAATTATATATATGTGTGTGTGTTTGCATGAACATATGGGCACATAAGTACATGTGCCCATAGGGCCAGAGGCTCCAGATCACTGTGTAACTGGAGGTTGTTAGCCACCCCACCCCCATATGGGTGTTAGGAACCAAGCAGGGCCACTGCAAGAACAGTATGAGCTCTTAACTGCTGAGCTATCTTGCCAGGCCCAAATGAACA